AACGGATTTTTCTTTTACATGAAAGTGAGATTCTCAGGAACTTACATTCTGTGCTCAATCCAATCAGAGTGTTTCATATCTGGGAAATCCAGGCAGTTTTTTCTTGTTTTTTGAAAATATATATGTATGTGTGTGCGCATTTTAATTCCACTGTTTACAAATTTCGCAATTCAACTCCGTTACATTATTTGTACATATTATACTGTCAATATTGTATGTACAAAGGAACCAATTCCTCTGAACTGAGTGATGGTAAAAAAAAAAAAAAGATGATGCTGGCTGTGGCAGCATGTCACTTCTGGTAAAAAAAAATTCTGAAGTGACACAGGATAGCTCTAGGCATCCCTGTGGAAAAACCTATGGCAAAACCATAGAGTTTCCAGCAATTCCTATAGCTACATGTGACACTTCCACGTTTTTCTATGCTTAGTGACGAAACGCTGCAGTTGCTGTCGGGTGTCCCCCCCATCCCCGCCCACAGCCCATGGGGTCGCGAAGAGTCGGTCCATGTGGTCACGAAGAGTTGGACTCGACTGTGCGACTGAACAACAAAATACTGCTTTAGTGCATTGTTCTCTAATTCTGCAACCCGGTTGTATTCACAGTTTGCTGTGTATTTTCTATTGTTCTTATGGCACTGTTTCAAATGGTGTCGTTTGCCTTGAGCCTCAGAGAGAATGCTAGGCTATAAAAAACAAAAAAAAAACAAAGGAAGGAAATAAGGAAATGAAAATTGCCCCGTGGAGTCGCAGCACACACCCGAGTCCTGGGCAAGGCCTTGCCAGGGCAAAGCATGAGCCTGCATTCCATGCAAAAGGACACAGAGGGTGATCGAACCTTTTTGTTCAGAGACCCCTGCAGCCTGTGCCATCGCAGATTCATTTCTCCGAGACGCTCTGCAAAGGCCATCCTCTCGTATCGCTTGCTTTCTACGTCGCAAGTCGTCATCTGCAGTAGCGACTGGTTGACATAATCAACTACCCACTGTTTAAAGTTCATTTCCATCAGGTATTCCTAGGAAGACAGAAAAAGAGGGACTTAAAAAAAAATAGAAAAAGAAAGAGCCTTTTCCAAGTGCCATTTACAGTTTACTTGGCTGGCATTCAGAAAAGCATTAATTCACAGAAGAGTGGTGACCCCTAAACGTGAACGGCTGCTCGGTGAAGTCCTTTGCTAATGGTTACGGATCATCAGAGGTTAATGCATCTTCCAGATCATTAAACCACTTGGGCAATGAAGGGAGAAAAAAAAAGAAATATTTTTCTTATTCTGATAAGAACACTCTTTAATCAAGACGCTAATATAGACTCAGAGCTGTTCGGGCCTGTAGGTACACGGGGCATTTTGGGACCCTGCCCCCTAAAATAAAAAACCCGCCCCACAAATAGCCATGCCAGAAACCTTATTTTTGAGGAGAGACCCCTGCCTGCTGCTGGCCATGGCCAGGGTAAGCGGCTTGCCCTCGGCCTTCCCTCCCTCTCCCACTGTGAAATTTTGGAGAGGCATCATGGGACTGGGGCAAGAAAGCTTGGAAGGACACTCAAGAGTGGCACCTTTGATACATCTCCTCCTTTCTGCTAGCCTGACTGGAGAAGTGCTGAAGGTACCACTCTTGAGTGCCCTTCTAAGCCTTCTTGCCCCGTGGAAAGGAACTCAAACGGCACTCAAATGCCTTCTGAAGGCAATTAAATACCCTCTGAGCTGTTTTTTTCCTAGGAACTGATGTGCTTGTCCCCCTTTAAAGACAGGTGGTCAGATTAATTTAATTAATTTTAACTGCCCCCTTTAAAATTTAAATGCCCCCCAAACAGAAACATCCTGGCTACTGTTCCCTGATGCCAAGCAGTGTCCCTGCCACCTGTGTCCACTGGTAGTGATCTGGCCTTGAGTGGAGCTTAAGTAGACACTGTGGACAAAAAGCAGGATATCTAGAAAGGACCAATGTACTAGTTTGTATGGCACTGGAAGAATATGCATAATATGGTCTGTGCAGGTGGCCATTAATAAGCTACCTTTGCCAGTGACAATGACAGACAGTGCAGTCCTACACAGAGCTACTCCAGTCTAAACCCACTGAAAGCAATGGGGATAGAGCAAGATCAGTGTTCCCTCTAAGCTTAGTTAGTGTGAGCTAGCTCACAGCTTTTTAGCCTCCGGCTCACACATTTTTGTCTCAGCTCAGGAAGGATGGCTCCAGAGCAAACTAATATATGCAGTAGCCAAATATCTTGCTCACAACTCTAATGCCAGTAGCTCACAAAGTAGTTTTTTTACTCACAGGACTCCATAGCTTAGAGGGAGCATTGGTCATGATGGGTAGCTGTGTTAGTCTATCTGTAGCAGTAGAAAAGAGCAAGAGTCCAGTTCCTTTCCTTTTGTACCTTTAGACGCTCACTGATTCACAGATCTTGAGCAGCGGAAAACATTTATAAAGCGAGGGCTAAAAGGACGGAGACAACTTTTGCAATTGTTAAGAGTGATCTTGGGATCCTTATCACTGAGCAAAAGAGCCAGGGTTTCCGGACTCTAGGGGGTAAAAGGTAAAGGTAAAGGTTCCCTTGCTCGAAAGCCAGTCGAATCCGACTCTCGGGTTGCGGTGCTCATCTCCGTTTCAAAGCCGAAGAGCCAGCGCTGTCCGAAGACGTTTCCGTGGTCATGTGGCCGGCATGACTAAACACCAAGGCGCACGGAACGCTGTTACCTTCCCACCGAAGTGGTCCCTATTTATCTACTTGCAATTTCTTGCTTTCGAACTGCTAGGTTGGCAGGAGCTGGAACTAGAGACAGGAGCTCACCCTGTCTTGCGGCACCCGGGTCTTGAACCGCTGAACTACTGACCTTCCACAGCCTGCAGTTCAGCGTCTTAACCACTTGAGCCACCGCAGCTCCAAGTCTAGGGGGACGACTGGTTAAATAAAGGCTTAATATAGTAACCCCTCATAATCTTGAAAAATCTGCTTTCCAGCAGGGCGTGAAAGAATGTCTCAATCCTGTTAAGGCCACACAAGGGCAAATTCTGTCAGTGTAGGGCCTATTCGAAAATCTCCCTTGCAAAACCATCGTAGGTATATAATATTCAGTCTTGCAAACAAAAAAGATCGGCAATAACACGGGATGGTAAGATAGTACATGGGGGGGGGGGATTTTGGGTTAGAAAGAGTAAATAATAGGGGTGAGCAACTTCTGCGGGCTCTCCGAATCAAACTACTATGGTCGATTTCCAGGGCTTGCTTTTTGATCAGAGAAAATACTTTGGTTTTGCCCATCTCAAAAATATCATCGATCGACATTCCAGCTTTCACCAGCTTCTCCTCCAGGGCTTTCATCCAAGTTGATTTGTGGGTATCCCGATTTAAAACAGCTAACAAACCATCTTCAGCACAGAGCTCTTTTAATCTCAGTCTGAAAAGAGTCCCATAGCACCTTAAAGACTAACAAAAGTTTTGGCAGAGGATGATCTTTCGTGAGTCACTGCTCACTTTTTTTTACATATCTGGACCCTTGCTTGTTTCTACTGAAAGCAACAGACTTGGACTGGAGTAACTCTGCATAGGATTGTACTCTTAATAGAGTTTATTTCCTCTCCACCAAAAAAGATAGGGGTAAGGCTGCATCACACAGCCCATAGACAGTCCACACATCTTCCGGCATATACCTGCGACTGCAACCAAGCGTCACACTTGGCTTGGCAGATCCCTACTAACAACAGCCTGGGTGGGGGGATTGGTAAGGCAGGAATGGGGCCATGGGGAGATGCTGCCAGACTGAAGGGAAAGGTATACTGGCAAGGTGTTTGCACACAATGACCCACATAAACATAATACTCAACATAAACTACCTTTCCCCGCAGGCATACAGCAACATTTCCCTAGTAATCCATCCCACGATTGGGAGTTAGACCCCGATTCCTGAGTGACCCAAACAGTCCACACCAGGCAAATGCTCCATCGTGAATGTCTGTTCACAACCTTGCCAAAATGGTATGGAATCAGTTTCTCAGAGTCTTATTCTTCTAGAGTACTACTCACCCTGTTCTTCTTGAGAAGGTCCTTCACTTGGCAGGTGGTACTCAGTGAATTTACAGAGGCCTCGCGGTGTCTTTCTTGGTCTACGTGGTTCATCCAGGCAATTAATTCTGTGATGGCCTCACTGGAAGGCAGCTTGGCCATCAGGAGCTGTAAGAAATAATGATGAGATTCCTCTTTTTCTTTTTGTATGAGTAAATTAAAAGCATTTGCGTTCTTTTAAAAAAAAAAAAGCAGGGAATACCCTGAACAAAACCTCAGACAGCACTGAAGGGATTTATTTCGATAAAGATTTAAAAGGTGGGAGGAAATCAGGCAAAGCTATTTTGCTGCAAGGAAATTATTTACAGAGAAGAGGGAGAATAATAAACCTTGGTCTTCGGCCTTCTGCAACTTTAAACACTGTGCCTTTTTTAGCTTTGATAATGTCCCTTGTCCTGTGGTGTCTCAGGCTTGCAACGTACACATTTTTGTAAGCTGAAATGTATATACCCTTTCTTACATGCCCAGGGAAATGCCAGTCACCATTTTGGGATCAGGAAGCAATTTTCTCCAGGTCAGTATGATCCTGGAGGGGTTTTTTTTTTTTTGGCCATTTTCTGGGCATGGAGCAGAGGTCACTGGGAGTGGGGGGGAGGTGGTGGGGGGCATTTTTGCCAGCCCAGTAGAACCAGTGCAATGTGCCCAGCAGAACCAGTGCCACTATGGCAGTGCAAACCCAATAAGGGCAAAACACAGAATTTCTGCAATAGAAACTGAAGGTCGGGGGCCATTTTTGCAAGCCCAGCAGAATCAGTGCAATGTACTACTGCCCAGCAGAACCCAGTGCCAATGTGGCAATGCCAGCTCACAGGTCTGATGTCAAGCACAGAATCACAATCCAAGCAAGTGGGGTTTTCTTTGCAAGCCCAAAATACCAGTGCAATGTACTGGTGCCCAGCAGAACCCAGTGCTACCAGCATTGCAAGCTTAAAAGGACTGATCTCAAAGCACAGAGTCACAAATGCAAGTGGTGGGGGGTGGGATTTTGCAAACTCTGTGCAAGAAAGAAACCGAAGCAAAGGGGGGGAGCCCCTCTTTAAACTGACAACAGTGTTTCCAAGACTGGAGAATTCTGGCCCCCCCCCCCCGCTTTGAAGTTAGGTAAACATTTTGTTTGAGGGAAGACAGACTGTCTGGAAATGTATCCATTCACCAAGGAGCACGAACCTCCACAAACAGCTTGAAAATTTGTGGAAAAATTCATGCTGGTTGATCTGTCACGAACTTCACTTTGCGAACCACAAACCAGCAAAAATTCATCATAAATTTTCATTAATGAGCTGGATTGTGCCTATCCTGAAGCACAACCCAGTACATGATTTCAGTGAAGTATAATCAACTTTTTTGGATTGCACACTTGACTTTTATATGCAGGTTCGTAATCAGTGGGGCATACAGAAAATTATGCAGGCAGAAACATCAGCAGGGTTTAATCTCTCACAGTATGTGGGATTTTGATTTGATAGGACAGATAGCAGAGCAGCCCTTGAACCACCCCTCTCCCGAAATGATTGGGTCGTTACATTTTGTAAGCTTGCTGAGTTGGTTTTGAGCAGGTAGGTTTGGAGATTTGCCGTTTACCTGGTGAAACTTCTCTTGGATGCTTGGAAGTTGAGATATCAGATCTGCCCACTTCTGCTCAAATTCTGCCAAAACTGATCGCAACATGGCTGCATCGGACTCCTTAATAAGCAAAAGCTGATTGCCAGTACTGACGACCGATGATTTCAAGGAAGATTTACCATCAACCTCTTTTAAGAATGCCTAAGATGGGGGGGAGATTTACACAGGAAAGACTTTTACAAAATTATTCATTTGCAAAAAGAACTGTTATCTGAAGGCCAGTGTGTTGTCTGCGTTGTAATATGAAAGCAGTTTTTAATACAAAGAAATTATCACCCATTCTCTCAAAACATCAGAATTTACTAAGCAGCAATGTGGGGTAGTATTTGAAGTGTTATATTAGGGGCTTAGATGTGGCAAAGATTATGCACTTCTGTCCATCTACAATACACACAATACAGGCTTTTGCAACTTCTATTTGCCTTGAAGTCATGTAGGAAATTTCAATTCTTGAAACTTTTGCTTGGCTTCAGTAATCAAAACTAATTCCTGTTTGCATGAAGCCTGATTTTGATTAGCAAAACCAAGGGAAGATAAAAGAGTTAAACTCCCTTTCCCCACATTGCCCCAAGGCAAATTAAGACTGAACAAGCCTGAAATCTGCATTTTAGAAATGTTTCATTTTCTCCTAGGGCTGGGGGAAAGAACCTGGATTCAAATCCCTGCTCAGCCAAGAAGGTCACTGGGTAACCTTGGACCAGCCACTCACTCACTCTCTCACTCTATTTTATTTTTGTAGTGAGGCAAAAATAGGATCAACCTGTCCATGTACCCTAGCACAAGTAACCGGATTCAAATATAACTGACAGGCAAAAATCAGGCTCACCCAATGTGACTGATTTACAGTAGGAAAAAGAAGCACTTCTTTGGGGTTATGAATGTTTTTGAAGAAGGATTCCCGTGAATTAACAGAAAGATGCCGTGAGAGCGCGCTGGAGCGATCAGACAGGGGAAAGTCCGTCCATAGCCCATAGCAACCCATTTGCTACCGGACTTTCCCTGGTGTCTTTTTACTCCATTTCTGTGGTGGAGCAAAACGGGTTGCCGATGGGTGCAGGGCGCTTCCCAGATGTTCGTGTCTGATCCCTTTAAATCCGCCCGGCATTCGCGCCTATGGCGCGGCTAATTGTATGTGTGATCACACCCTAGGATTTGACCAACGTTTTTAACTACCGTTTGCCACACAAACGCTGCCGGACACCAGACTTACCAGTAAGCTGTGGATATTGTGGCTGACAGTGTTCAGGTCCTGGGATGCACTGAGAGATTGCTCCTTCCAGAAATTCACCCTCTGCTGAGCAGACTCCAACCACTTCTCCAGCTCCTTCGAATCTCGGTTGTAACTGCAGAAACACATACAGGTGGGGGATATAACCATCAGCTGGAAAACCCTGCATGCTCCTCGGTTCTATACTCTGCCTCAGGCCCCCCGCTGAGATGGCACAAAGGCACTGCATGTACTACGACCCAAAGGAGGCAGCTGCAGCGGTGAAGAACCTGTGAACAATAACCTCAGGTGCAAAAGCTCCTGCAGAAAAGACCACGTTTTATGATCGCGCATGAGCTACAAAGAGGGCTTCCCCACTGTTAATTCATGCCCCACTGTCATCTTTCACTAACACACTCCACATGGGGTCCCCTTTCAAAATAAGTCTGAATTTATTTTTCAAGATAGAGGCTGCAGTCACACACACTAAATAATCCCCTTTCAGTGCACTTTCCAACTGCCATTGAGTGGCAACTGACTCTGGGTGACCCCACGAAACTTCATCTCATGCGGTTTTCAAGGCAGGAGATGAGCAGAGGTGGTTTGCTGTTGGCTTCCACTGCACAGAAACCCTGGAACAAAGTTAGAGTCCAGTGGCACCTTTAAGACCAACAAAGTTTAATTCTGGGTATAAGCTTTCCTGTGCGAACACACTTCTTCAGATAGTCTGGTCTGATCTGATCTTCCTTAGATAGTCTGGTTTCCCCTCCAAGTACCTGTGTAGTTGTTTTTTTAAAAAAATTGCATTGTGTGTGTCTGTGTGTGCGTACCTATGCCTGGACATCATGGTGACCTCTAGCGAATCCTACTGGGGCATGGAGAATGTTCTGAGAAGTGGCTTGATAGCCTGCCTCCGCCTCCCGGCCCTGGTATTCCTTGGAGGTCTCTCATCCAAATAGTTGCCAGGGTCAGCCCTGCTTAGCTTCCGATATCTGACAAGGTCGGGCTTGCCATGGCTATCCAGGTCAGGCCCAAGTACCTGCATAGTTTCCAAGCTCTAATGAGATTGGGCTACTAGGGCTGCTCTCGCCCAAACCCACCCATTCAATAATCTTGGCCCAGGAGGCCCCGCTATGTCATCTCCCATCCTCCAAAGCATGATGGGAAGTAATGTAGGACAGGGTATCATAACACCAGCACTGACGTTATAAGAACTCCCTCTGCAGGGAAATCTGCTCTCAGTCCATAACTCCTCAGGTGCTGGAAAGATAAGCAGGGGTCATTTTGTAGAAAAAGAGGTGCAGGAGCTCATTTGCACAATTCATTTGTGTATGCCACATGCCCTGACAAAGGGCAGGCATTCTAAGCATGTCTGGGTTCCCTGCCCAATCTTCTCCAGGTGCCCCGCGGCAAAAACGGAGAGGCTCAGGGAACCCAGGCATGTTTAGAATGCCTTTCTTTCCCTTCCCCAGATGGGGAAAGAAAGGCATTTAAATCCTCCCAGGTGGCGGGGGGGGGGTCCCTCTGCAGGCCTTCCCTGGCCCGTCCACCTCAGCGGGCGGGCCAGGGAAGGCGGCGGAGAGCTCCTTACTGCCGGAGCACCATTCCGGCACATTCCAGCAGGAAATGACCCCTGAAGACTGATGTCACCACAGGAAAATGAGGATAAAAACTGGCTCTTAAAAGGCTGAGGAAAATAGACAGGATACACTCACCTGGTCAAGAGTCTGAACAAAGTCTCAAGTCTCTGTAGCTCATGACCCACTTTTTTGGAAAGAGATGTCCACTGGTCTTCTAATTTCCCAACCTGATTTTCCAACTCAGGGCAATTTGTGAGCTCCAATAATTTCTTCCCTTCTTTCAGTATCTGATGATACCTTCCCTGTTCTTCTTCCACGTTCCTTTTGAGTTGCTAGGAAAGGATATAAAAATGGCATTAAGGTACCAAGAGAGGCAGGGCTGCTGGGGTTTCATTGCTCTATTTTCAGTTAGTTCACTTTTACATATGTAAGTGCTGTCAAATTGTAGCTGACTTATTGTGGCCCCAGCAAGGGTTTTTTAAGGTGAGTCAGAAGCAGAGGTGGTTTGCCACAGCCTTCCTCTGCAGGGTCTTCCTTGGTGGTCTCCCATCCAAGACTTATGGCAACCCCAGCAAGGGGTTTTTAAGGCAAGTGAGAAGCAGAGGTGGTTGGCCATGGCCTTCCTCTGCAGAGCCTTCCTTGGTGGCCTCCCATCCAAGACTTATGGCGACCCCAGCAAGGGGCTTTCAGAGCCAGTGAGAAGCAGAGGTGGTTGGCCATTGCCTTCCTTTGAAGAGCCTTCCTTGGTGGTCAAGGCTTATCTTAGCTCCTGGTTCAAGAGGAGCTTTTGTTCAAGCGATGTCATTCCAGCGTACTTGAATCAGTTCTCAAGACAACAGTAACAATGTCAGTTGCCGAATCTAGGGACAAGGACCTACCTGGAGAAGTCCAGACCTTTCCATTAACCTTTCTTCCGTTTCTTCCACCAGAGTTACAGAAGGCACAGAAGACGACAGTGCCTCTAGTTTTTGGCAGAAAGAGGTGTAAGTCTTATCAAATTCTATCCAGTCCTAAAGAGAGAAGACTCATCTTCAGCACAGCACAATAAGTTTACAGTGTCATCCCAAGCAAAATTATACCAGCGCCCCCCACCCCCGCAGTCCCCAGCAAGATCAGACTCCCACAGCATTTTAAAAAGTTAAAGAACAAACTCTAAGATGCACCACATCACTGTGGTGGACTCAGGGAGGTGGTAGTGCCTATTCCTGACCGAGTGGTTCCTCAGTGGAGCAGGCCTCCTCGGGAGGAGGTGGGCTCTTCTTCTTGGGAGGTTTTCAGAGAATCATAGAATGTGAGAGTTGGAAGGGACGTTGATGAATCTAGGGACAAGGACCTACCTGGAGAAGTCCAGACCTTTCCATTAACCTTTCTTCCGTTTCTTCCACCAGAGTTACAGAAGGCACAGAAGACGACAGTGCCTCTAGTTTTTGGCAGAAAGAGGTGTAAGTCTTATCAAATTCTATCCAGTCCTAAAGAGAGAAGACTCATCTTCAGCACAGCACACTAAGTTTACAGTGTCATCACAAGCAAAGTGTCATCACCCCCCCACCCCCGCAGTCCCCAGCAAGATCAGGCTCCCACAGCATTTTAAAAAGTTAAAGAACAAACTCTAAGATGCACCATATCACTGTGGTGGACTCAGGGAGATGGTAGTACCTATTCCTGACAGAGTGGTTCCTCAGTGGAGCAGGCCTCCTTGGGAGGAGGTGGGCTCTTCTTCTGTGAAGGTTTTCAAGCAGAGGCTAGATGGCCATCTGACAGCAATGTTGAAGCAGATCATGAGAGGGAGGACGGAAGGGATGAGCCAGTGCTCAGCTCTCGTGGTCCTGTCTTATATGCCCAGGGTAATGCTGATCGCCACTTTGGGGTCAGGAAGGAATTTTCCTCCAGGCCAGATTCGCCAGGGATCCTGGAGGTTTTTTGCCTTACTCTGGGCATAGAACAGGGGTCACTGGGGGGGGGGAGGGAAGAAGAAGAAGTCATGATTCTATACCCCATCCTTCACAACCCAAAGGAGTCTCAGGGTGGCTTACAATCTCCTTCCCTTCCTCTCCCCACAACAGACACACTGTGAGGTTGGTGGGGATGAGAGAGCTCTTTTGAGAACTGCTCATGAGAGAACAGATCTGAGAGAACTTGTGGCTTGCCCAAGGTCATGCCAGCTGGCTGCAGGTGAAGTAGTGGGGAATCAAACCCAGTTCTCCAGATTAGAGTCCGTGCACTTAACCACTACACCAAGCTGAAGTGGAGGGGTTATGGCAAATTTCCTGTGTTGTGCAGAAGTTGGACTAGATGACCTTTGAGGTCCCTTCCAGCTCCGTTTATGTGTTTAGTCTGGCCCTAAGAGTACCTGTTTTGTAACATACAAAATGAAACACTAAAATGGTCTGCCATCATACCCAGCTGAGAATCCTCTGCCCACAGAATACTTGTATCAATTTTTAACACCATTCTTCTTGGGGTTTTTTAACTCCTATGTCAATTTTGGCAGAAAAGTGAAACAAATGCTATAATAATACATAAAATATCCCCACGGTTCCGATTCGATTCTATTACCTGCAACTGTCTCTCCAAACGGGTTCCCTGTTGGACCGCCTGCTGCTCTAAAGATTTGATCTCCTCAACCAGTTCCTTCCAGAGTTTCTCTCTCTTTTGCAACAGAGAAGGTGCCACTCTTTTGAAGCACATTTCCACAAGCAGCATGTGAGCGTTCAACTTGCGGAAAAAATTCTGGGCTCAGAAAAAGGAAAAAACAGAATCAACAAAGAGGTCAAGAAATCTACAGTTTAAAAAAAATGAAACAAAAATGCTTTTGAATATATAAAGTTCTTGCAACGGGGCTTCAGTCATGTTAACCTCCATTTTACTACCCATCCAATCTTGGAAGCTAAGCAGGGTCAACCCTGGCTAATATTTGGACGGGCGACCTTCAAGGAATACCTGGGGTGTAACGTAGAGGCAGGCAATGGCAAACCACCTCTGAAACATATCTTGCCTTAAAAAAACAGGTCTAGCTCGCCACCTAGTGGTGCATAACGCTAAAAGAGCTAGAACTTCTGGCTTCCAGACAATCTTAGGATCTCCTGGCTATACTGCACACACTGCCATACAATAATTAATTAACCTCACTGGAAAGCATGTGAACAATGTACGCCACTTTGGGTCTCCACTGTGGAGAAAAACGGGGTATAAATGAAGTAATCTAATGATGGGCTGTGTGAAAAAAAAGTACTTTGTGTGTCCTGACTCTACTCAGCTACACTGGGTGGTAGAGAAATCTAGCAGGGGGGGGGATTGCTCTTTCTACCCCAGGCTTAAAGCTCATGTTGCCCCAAAATCACAGATATCATCATTGTCTCTCATCCATTAAACATGGACAGTAAGTATGCCAACTAAATGCAACAGAAACAGAGAATTGGTACTAAAACAACTAAACCCCGTTTTCTGGATACGATCCTAGGATATAATTATTTGACCAAAGAGCAAAGGAAAATACCATTTGGAATGTTTTACATCTGTCCACAGAGTCAGCTGAACAGGATAAATTGCAGCTGTTTGTAACTAATGGAAAGCATAAATGGCTAATTGGCTTCTCTTAACTTAAAATCCCGAACATTTAAGTGGGGGATTACGTTGTGGCTTGTGCATTCTTTCTCTCGGGCATTTTGTAAACATTAATCTTCACTAGTGAGGTTGTATGCTATTCCTGGCAATATAATTGTAGCCCTGAGTGGATTCTGATTATCGACAACTGTGACGATGACCTCCCCCTCCTTCTCCCATACCTTTACACATGTGCGACGAAATTATGTTAAGAGCCCTGAATGGGAAATAAATCCTAAACAAATTAAATACGACTCTCTCCTATACTTTATGGCTCTGTGGCAGGTGTCTGATTAAAATAAGGCTGTGTCTCTTTCAGAAACAACTTGTGTTTTGAGCATTAATTGTTAGTCGTAATTTTGCATGCATATAAATATGACATCTGGTGGTATTACAGTGCTTTGCAGACATTAAGACTTATGAGGCCCTATCAAGCTGTACTGAGTACTACCATACACTACAAACATTGGATGTAATTACAGATTATTAGATGGAAGTGTCACAGATAGAATCCTGAGGGTTTTTGTTTTTTAAACACATCTGAATAAAACAGAAAATATACAGCAGGGATGGGCATGAACTGGGAAAATGGAGGTTCGTCCCGATTCGTGGTTTGTGAGGTCACACGAACCACAAACTTCCCCCATTTAACAAACTGGTTCAGGTCATGAGGTTTGGGGCCTCTTTTCTGCTGGTGACGACTCCCCAAGGTCTGCAGAATGGAGGGGGGGGTAGATCATACAAAAGCCATTTAAAGGGAATGTTCCCTTTAAATGGCTTTTGCAAGCGGGCACTGTACGCAAGTGAAGTTCAAGCGGTGAGTTCACCACTTCTGGTGGACTTCATTCATGCACAGCGCCTGCCTGCAAAAGCCATTCAAAGGGAACCTTCCCTTTAAATGGCTTTTGCAAGCCATTTCAGTGAACCCTCTTGCTCCCCCCCCACCCCCGCTTCCCACTACAAACCCCACAGACCTCCAAAATCATGTGGAGCATCGTGGATAGTGATGGGCATGAACCTCCGGTTCATGAACCACAAACCAGCGATGTTCGTCACAAAACTAGGTTCGTGCCCATCCCTAATATACAGGCGGAATATACTAAAAGGACCCAGGAGAAATGAGAACAGTTGACAAAAGAGGTAGTGGTTAAAGTGGGTCACAAATCCCTTTGAGAATCTGAAGAAAGCTACTATCCTATCCTCCACCCCTGAAACTTTGTCAAAAGTACCTACACTTGTCATTACAAAAAAGTAGACACAACAATGGTACTACTGAAGAGCTGGATTTTGCTATGTATCCTGTCCCCCATCCCTGAAACTTGTTCCTCCCTCGAACTGTGTTATTGACACTAGATTAACCCTGAGGGGATGTGCAAAGCTTCTATTGCATGTTAGGCGTGGCCTATGCCTTCCTACAGCTCTGAAATGCAACCTGAGATTCCTTATGGTATAACAAGGCATAGAAGAGACCAGAAAGCTCCTGCACATCAAGGTTTAAATCATGCTCATTTGGAGCTTCCAAAACACTTATAATGTTCAACTTATGCACACCTGAATTTTTTTTTGTCATTATAAATGTACAATGGAAATCCACTACCAAAATCCCAATGGGGGAATGATTGTGGCTTTCTAAAGTTAGCTATTCAATTATTATTATTTATGTATTGTTCAAATTGTTTTACATTTATGAATGTTTCATTCTTTTATGTGGACTGCCCTGAGCTCTGTGTACTTAGGATGGTTTATAAATTCAAATTATAAATAAAAACATATAAAATACCTTGTGATCTTGCAGATGAAGCTGCAAATTTGGTCGACTGGTCGCTTTCAGATCCGTCACCTGGGCGACTTTCTCTTGTCCGAGATCTACGAGTTCCCTTAGTCCACGTAACAAAGGTTCATACTGTCGTTCGCTAATAAACGGAGGGGTTAGCTCCCTTTGTTTAGCTCTTAGGGTCCCCCAAAGGTCATCTAGCACATCCTAGGAAACAAATTCCACTTGTCATTATTTACATGAATAAGCCACCAGTTAGCTCTTAGCCAAATATGATGATAGGTTTTTCTACTTGTTGAGAATTCAGATACTGAAACAGCCAGAATCTGATCCCGGTGAATGCAAACCAGGTGATAGGCCCTGATAGTGCACCCCACTGCCAGTTAGGATGTGTTACATGGAGGGTATTGTTGGAATGTGTGGAAACAGAACAGCACCAGAAAGCAGTCATGTCTAGCACATATAAACCAACAGCAGCAAAGAAACTGGAACACTGCTTTAATCTTAATGGAATAACTCATAATCAACTTAAGCTGATGAGAGTATTACTCAGGCCAGAAGTATTTTTTCCAGAATGGTTCTCCTTTATTACTTTCATAAAGTAATGGTTAATCAAACACAAACCCATCCATCTTGCAAGAGACATTTTGGAAAGACATAAGAGCCCTGCTGGATCAGACCAGTGGTCCCTCTAGTCCAGCATCCTGTCTCACACAGTGGCCAACCAGTTCCTCTGGAGGGCCAACAACAGGGCATGGAGGCCGAGGCCTTTCCCTGATGTTGCCTCCTGGCTCTGGGATCCAGAGGCTGACTGCCTCTGAAAGTGGAAGTTCCCCTCAGTCACCATGGCTAGTAGCCACTGATAGACCAATCCTCCATGAACCCATCTGATCCTCATTTAAAGCTGTCTATGCCCGTGGTTATCATTGCATCGTCATCTCGAGTCTGCCATGGGGACACAGCACCATTTTACAGCTTGTTTTTTTCAACAGCAAAATGCTTCATGGAGCCAGTATTACTGCAGGCCACACTGTGGGGGGATGTCCCCACCAGACATCTTAGGCTCTTGAAAACTGCACAGGAGGGAGATAGACACCCCACATTCTCCTGTGCCATTGTCCCCAGCAGGATCAGGCTCCCAGCTCTTGAAAACAGTGCTAGGGGTTGGTGTGGGTGGGACAGGAAACTTTTATCCTCCCTCACCACGATCCCCAGCAGGACTTTATTTATTGTCTTCACTGTTTTCGCGACTTGTCATAACATAAACAGCAAACCCTCACCCCACAATAAACCTAATTTCACAGGAAAACATGGAAGAATTTAAAAGTCGCTCCTGCAAAAATTGTCATGTGATTTGACAAACAGTTGCTAGAAATTCTGCCACATGCAGGGAAGTCTGTTATCCCCAGCAGGACTGGCGCCCCATGGCATTTTGAAAAATGAAAAAAAAAACCAAACTCTAAAATGGTGCCATCATGTCTCTACTGCAGAATCAGGGATGCAGTAGCATCTAGTTCGGCTCTATGATGACCTGTTTTCTGAGGCACAAAACAAAGTGCTAAAGTAGAGTTCCATCATGCCTACCTGAGAATGTTCTGCCTGTACAACATTGGTATCCGTTTCTGATCTCATTTGGCCCTTAAACTGAAAGAATCTACTCGATGGGAAAATGTTTTTAAGGTTGCAGCGTAAGAGGGTCAAAAGTTGAATGTTCAGAGCAGGGTCAGCTCTACAATGAGGCAAGGTGTGGTAGGGGTGTGAGGTGATGGATTGGGGGCGGTGGAGTAGCGACCACTGCAGCTTCCGCCTTTCCCTCCTTGCCACGGCGGCCTCCACATCTTCCACTGCCCACTTCCACTGCCACCTGCCTCCACTCCTGCGAATGCTCCTTCCCTCTTTGTACCGCTTAAGTAGATCTTCTAATCCCACACAACCATATTACACCGCATATACTACCCTCTCTTGATAACTGCCTGGAAAGATTCAAAACACTGCATGCATCCTGTGAGCAAATTTACCTCCAATTTATAAACGTCATGGGTCAGGGCAACAGGCAACTTAAGTCTCTCTGCGTGAACTCGCAGTTTTGCTGTCTGTGTCTCAAAGTTCTGCAGTTCTTCCAGCTCGTGGGTGTCGATTTTCTAAATGAAAGATGAAACGATTGGTTTTTAGGTTTTCCATATTAGGAGCAGTGAGGTCGCTGGGACACCCCTTGGACCCGCCAGCTCTTTATTACATCACCACAAGAAGGAAAGTAAGTTCCTCCTCCGTCTTTAATGTTTTGATTATTGTTTTTATGTTTCTGAATGTGTAATTTAGCTCCGGTTTAAATTGTTTTAATGATGTGTTTTTGTTGGCTTTCATGACATCAAAGACAGCATTTTTATTAGGTATGTTTTTAATTTGTTAGCCACCTTGGTGGCCCTCATGAGGGCAGAAAGGCGGGGTATGAATTTTGTAAGATAAATAAATGAAGTAAGCAAGGAACAGAGAACATAAACGGTGTACCCAAGATCAAATTTGCATTGCTGTAAGTAGGTCTATAAAAACTGGGTGTGACGGGTTGAATTGAGGCTGAATTCTCTGGAATGGAAATTTCTTTCCTGCTCCCCTCACTGCTGCCCACTGTCCCCCCACAAAATCTGCCCCCCGTCCTCTGTCCCCCACAATCTGCAGCAGAAAGGAGCAATCAGGAATCCTATTCCATGAAAAGAAAATTTAGTACGGATTCAGGGCCACGTTTATAGTTTGTGACATAACCCGCAGCTTTGAAGGGAAGTTGATGTAACACTTTTCATAGAGAAACGGTCAGTCCCTTGTGCCCTTATTCCGAGGATGTGCAAGACGCTTTGTATCTTCACCATAAGAACATAAGAGACGCCAATGTTGGATCAGGCCAAAGGCCCATCCCGTCCAACACTCTGTGTCACACAGTGGCCAGAAATACCAGGTGCCATCAGGAGGTCCAGCAGTGGGGCCAGGACATTAGAAGCCCTCCCACTGTTGACTTTCCAGTCAAACTGAGGCTTTGATAAATACACGGCTGCTGCTGATTAAAGGCAGTTATGCGTTTGGCTGGCTCCCTCCTCTCCGAGACATCGAATGCAATTTCCCCGCCCCCTCCTGATGTCACAACAGTGACATCACAGTGTCAGGACTCAGGCTAAATTCTAGTAGATATTATGGAGGGGAGTTAGAGCACACAGCTGTTGGTTTTGCCACAGACACGTATTTACTGTAATGACTGGTTTGGCTTTGAGAACTGTAGAGGCACATGTCCTTTGCAGAACCGTAAATGCTTATTTGCTGGTGAGCTATGATTTGGCTGGTGAGCTATGATTTTGAATATGCCCTTCTTTTTGTTAACATGAGTAAATGTTTGAAAAACCGATTCTTTTGTTTGTGTGTGCGTGTGCATCACTGCCACAAGTCTATGATAATAATTAAGTGCCATCAAGTTGCAACCAACTCATTTATTTACTTATTTCGATTTGTATCCCGCCCACCCCACAAGCGGGCTCAAGGTGGGTTCCATCATAAAATTCACAGCAGAATAAATCGATAGTTAAAATATATCTAAAACAGCGATCAATATAAAAAGACTGGTGCTTCAGCAGATCTCAGCAAGAAACAGTTGGTTCCCATGTGGCCATTTGGATCTGAGGTCAATGGGGGGGGGGGAGGCCAGTCAGAAGGCGGGCACCGCTGCCTCAACTAAAAGCCTGGCGGAAGAGCTCTGTCTTGCAGGCCCAGCAGAATTGTGATAGGTCCTGCAGGGCCCTGATTTCTAATGGGAGCTCATTCCACCAGGTAGGGGCCAGGGCCAAAAAAGCCCTGGCCCTTGTTGTGGCAAGTTAGATGTCCTTGGAGCCGGGAACCACCAGGAGATGTTGATTAATAGTGGGCACCCACTGCCTCACTAAAAGCCTGGCATAAGAGCTCTGTCTTGCAGGCCCTGCGGAATTGTAATAGGTCCTGCAGGGCCCCCTGAGTTCTAAAGGGAGCTCATTCCACCAGGTAGGGGCTAGGGCCGAAAAAGCCCTGGCCCTTTTAGGCAAGTTGGACATCCCTGGGGCCGGGAACCACAAGGAGATGTGGATTAATAGATCCTAAGTTCCTGTGGGGCTCATATGCGGAAAGGCGGTCCCGGAGATATGCTGGCCCTTGGCTGTAGAGGGCAGAGGTGTCGAACTCATTTATTATGAGGGCCGGATCTGACATACATGTCACTTTGTTGGGCTGGGCCCTGTGTGCCATAAACTGTAATGCCAGGTATTGGAGATATAAACTGTATAAAGGACAGCAGCTGGTAAGGTCCAAGCTGGTGTATCCTCACTGCAAGGCCTCATGGCAGGGGGGGGGACTGTGCAAAGGAAAACCTGTATGGTCAGATTGGACAGCCAGCGGTGCAGCACTGGGCAGACACTCCCACAATGCTTGACTGCTGCAGATGAGGTTGTTCTGCCATGCTGAAGCCACAATCCCCTGAGTAGTTTCCTGTTCCCTGCTTTGCACTAGTTGCTCACGGGCCGCATAAGAGCCCTGGATGGGCTGGTTCTGGCCCCTGGGCCTTATGTTTGACACCCCTGGTACAGGGCTTGAAAGGTAAGTACCAGCACCTTGAACTGTATCCCATACTCCTCAAGGGGTTTTCAAGGCAAGAGATGAGTAGAGGAAGTTTGGCACTGCATGCCTCTGTGTCATGATTCTAGTCTTCCTTGGTGGTCTCCCGGTCAGCTTAACGTTTGAGCTCTGACAAGCTTGAGCTAGACTGGGCTGTTCAGGCCTCTGCCACACGGATATAGCTTGTTGCAAACCCGCACCTCATCAACCTATAGCAATTCAGCACAGGGTTATAAAGTTCTTTTGAGTTCTTTGTTGGATGAATCTCTTGGGAGACTGATCAGCTATAGAAACTGCTAAGCTCGCTTAGAGCCAGACAAACCTTGACTTGGATGGCCCATGCTAGTCCGATCTCGTCAGAGCTTGGAAGCTAAGCAGGTAGGGTTGCTAGGTCCCTACCTGTTGCCGGCAGGGGGCTGCAGGCTACTGTCCTGGATATCCTTGAGCACATGCTTCATGCACATGCTGTGATGACATCATCCAGAGGTGACATCATAGCGCAGAGCACATTGTGGGGGACACTCTAGCATTTGAGGGGAAAAACTCTATGGTTACCATAGAGTTTTTTCCTCAGAAGCTAGAGTGTCCCCACCTCAACATGCCCTGCGCAATGACATCACCTTTGGGTGTTGTCACTGCACCGGGCACATCAGCGCAGATGGGGCTGCTCCGGGGTGGGGCTGCTCAGGGGCAGGCTCCCCCACCGGCCAGCTGAGTGGCGGCAGATTGGGCCCCCTGAAAGCGTGTAAACCCCCATCCCCATCGGGGGGATGGCCACCCTATAAGCAGGGTCAGCTCCAGTTAGGACTTGGACGGGAAACCACCAAGGAAGTCCAGGCTCATGACGCAAAGGCAGACAATGGCAAACCACCTATGAACATCTCTTGCCTTGAAAACCCTACAGGGTCACCCCCATGTCAGCTGTGCACTGACAGCACTTTCCACTACCAAGGCTATAAAAGGAGCCCTGCTGGATCAGACCAAGGCTCTAACTAACCCAACATCCACAGGCTTCCTGGCAGCTCATACATAAGGACTGAAAACCATGGCTCTTCGTCGCTGATCAGCGCTTGGAGATTTGTGGCCATGGGAGGGTCATCGGCAGCATCATTAAGCTCACAGGGGAAAACAAGACCATAGGTCCGATTTTGGAATACCAAACCACAAAGGGAAATTAGATGAAATTGTCCAGCGGCGGGGAAACTGATTGTCCATTACCTCTTCGAATCTCAGCTAATTACCTGGAGCTGCTCGGAAACGCCGTGCCCGCTCAGAGCGCTGAAGGACTGCTGCAGCCTGGATTTTTTCTCAATCAAGGCATCGTACAATAGCCTGATTTGGTTCTGTGGCAGGAACAAGCGGAAAACCCACCGTGAACCCAGAGATACATTCTACCGAATGAAGGGACAATTAAACTGCAATTCAACGGGGCTGTTTTTAATCAGCATCATTTCTTTACGTATGCACATATGTACAGAGGAAGAGAATCATGGAATTACTTGCCCTCATTTTTAAAGAAGAAAGGGAGAGAGGAGAGAAACGCCCAGGTCTTTTTTAAAAAAATCAATGGCCAATTTGCAAGGGGGAATGGGTTCATTACGGATAGGGTTGTTAAGGACATAGCCAACTATGTTCTCAAACTTCTCCAGGGACAGATAAGCATGGTGGGGGAGTGAGACCCCATCTTACCTCCCTATCCGCTAGATTCACCTGTTCCATTTATGGATGAACAAGATGTCCAGCCAAGGTCTCTGTGCTTGCATTGGGCTTATACATGTGCGTCTGCCTGAACTGCATAGCCATCTGCTGCGGAAAGCAGCTCACCCACACAAAAACACAATGGGCATGATTTTCCCACAGAACCAGGGAGCGCACCGTACTCCCTGGAAAGCTGCTTTGCTCAATTTGATATATATTTTTTGACAAATTGTGACATGAACCTAGATCAGGCTCAAGCTCCCTCAGATACGATCTATTCTACATCTATCTTAAGTTGGGCTCCGGTATTACAGTACATGGCCGAATCAGATCTTCTTCCCTCAAATCCAGGTTATCATACTTGGCTTCATTTTTGACCGCTTCTCTGATTGGATATGCTGTTGAGACTTCCTTTTGATTGGCATAGGTCCGTTGCTTTCCCGATTCCGGTATGTCAAAACGGAATCCCTTGGACTACAACGTATCGTGTTTTACGTTTGGATGTATGTTAACGTTTCTGTGCTTTATTAACTTCTGTAATGTGGAGTTTGTTCAAACGAAGTTCAGAATTTTTTAAAAAAATGGTGACATGACGGTTTTCATTTAAAGAATGAGACCTGTGGCCATCACGACATCCTCCAGCAGCAAATTCCACATTTTAATCACCCTCTCTGTAAAGAAGTCCCAGACTCTTCAGCCTTTCCTCATAGGGAAGGTGCTCAGAACATTTAACTGTGAAATCCTAATCAAAATTACACCCTACTAATACCACTGGTCTAAGCTGACTTAGAATAATATAAATCATAGAAACATGGTGCAGGAAGGGACCTCAAGGGTCATCTAGTCCAACCCCTGGCACAATGCAGGGAATTCACAACTACTCTCCCCCCCCCACTCCCCCAGTGACCCCTGCTCTATGACCAGAAGTACGCAAAAAATCTCCAGGATCCCTGGGACAATCTGGCCTAGAAGAAAATTCCTTCCTGATCCCAAAGTGGAGATCAGCATTACCCTGCGCCTGTAAGAAACTCGTTTTAGGATTGTACTGCAAAGAAGGATAAGGAGTAATTTAAACCTATAGCTGAAAGGTTTTCTTTTGAAATAGCTAACAGCGAACCGATCAGACCAACGAAGGAATAGGTCTTTCCAACACGGCGGTAAGAAAGCAACTGGCGGGATGTCCGCGCCCACCCCTCTAGGCATGCGTGGAGGGGTTCCTGCGCATGCCCAGAGGGACTGGGCGCGAAAATCCGTTGAAAAGAGCTTGCTACAGCACCGATCGATCCAGCTCGTGTGCACTAGATCTCATGGGTGTGAAGCACAGAGACCACATCGAAGATCCAACTTCTTGAGCTCGGGGACCCAATTCTCCCCGGCCAAGCCGTTTGGGGACAGGACTCCCCCAGCAAAGATGGCACCGTTGGTGACCCTGGGCCCGTCACGAACGCTCAGCCTAACCTACCTCACAAGGTTGTTGTGAGGATAAGGTGGAGGAGAGAACAGTGGGCCAAAGCTGCTTTGGGTCCTGATCAGGGAGAAAAGCAGGATACAAATAAAATATTTTTATATACGGCAGCTGCGTATGTTCAAATGTGCACTAGAGAAGGAGAGGAGAATCCAACGAGGTTTCCTTGAAATTGTTGTAATACCTGAAAATTGTTGTGATAGTCCAGCTCGGCTTTCATAGATTTACCCCTAGAAGCAGTGGCTTCTTGCGTCGACTGCAGCCATGCCTGCAGGTTGCTAAAACACTGGGAGAACCGATCAGGGCTGCCGCCAGCAGAGGTTACAGACTTCAAAAGATCGTCCTTCTTTTGACCGATATCGGCATGAAGTTTCTGCAGCTCCACAGAGAGGGTCTGAAAGAGAGACAAGACAGAAGAGACCGTTGAAAAGGCCTCTCGTAGGTGAGGAAACCCCCCCCCCCAAAAAGTGTGAAATTTTATTTATTTATTTATTTATTTATTTATTATTTACATTTCTGTCCCGCCCTCCCCGGAGGCTCAGGGCAGCTTACATGGTATATCGCCAGATAATACAATAGAACAATAAAAACATTAAAAAAATATTAAAATACATCACAGTCATAAACAAATTTTGGTGCTCCTCTCCTAAAAACCGGATGGCCATCCCCTAAAACGTCCCATTCTCACCCAAAGTGCCCGCATCATGGTGACCATGTACAGAAATCATGGGGCGTTGGTGGTATAATGGCGATGGCGGCTCCTATTCAAAAGCCTGGTGGAAGAGCTCTGTCTTGCAGGCTCTGCGGAACTGTGCTAGGTCCCGCAGACCCCTGATCTCCTCTGGGAGCTCATTCCACCAGATAGAAGCCGCCACCGAAAACGCCCTGTTCCTGGTCATGACGAGTTTGATGGACCGGGGACCTGGCACATCCAGTAAGTTCTGATTCCCCGACCGTAGGGCTCTTGGGGGAACATGTGGAAATGAGCCTGAAACAGATGAAGATCACACATCTCTAAGATATAAAAGTGCATACTCGCGCAACTTCACTTTGCCTTGGGGCCATGCTGGGAAGGCAAAAGGAGTTTTCAACCCTTCGACTGACACTTTGCTCTTCCAAAATTGGCTACCCTGCTCTGCTATAAGCACTTTAAAGGGAAAAGAACTTTAAGCACTTTGAAAGGACAGCTTTTTTCTCCTACTATCAAAGCAGAGGAGCCAATTTTGAACAGTGAATCCAAGCGGAGGGTAGAAGATTAAACCCTCCTCCTTTCCATGCATGACCCAGAGACAAACTGAGGCTGCGGAAGACTGCAATTTGCATGGATGAACGGATGGTGGCTGCAGGATCTTTGTCATATCTGTTTGAACTCTACGGATCCAGCAATGCTCCATGCGAGGCTGATTCACTCTGCATTTCCCACTGTCCATATTCTATGTATGCTTAGTTTGTGAAACCAAGATTTGGCTCAGAGAGAATCATTCCAATTCTGATTTACCTTGAAAAACATGTATTTCACGAGAGAGACTGTGAGCAAGTGGTTAAGAGTCAGGATCTCCATATCTGTACGTAGCAGAAAACCCTAGGTTAACACTGACTCTGAAAATAATAAACCAACTTCAATCCATGGTTTCAGAGTCTGGACTGATGTACTCAGACTAACCATAACTAGTAGACTGGTCTATACTCTAACCAGTTATATTAAACCACGATTTCACTTGAAACCTGAACCCCAGAGTCCTCCATTTACAGAAAAGCGTCAAGAGCAGTGTTCCCTCTAAGCTGAGTTAGTGTGAGCTAGCTCACAGTTTTTTAGCCTCTGGCTCATACGTTTTTGTCTTAGCTCAGGAAGGAGGGCTCCAGAGCAAACTAATTTATGCAGGAGCCAAATCGCTCACTCACAACTTTAATGCCAGTAGTTCGCAAAGCAGAATCTTTGCTCTCAAGACTCCACAGCTTAGAGGGAGCATTGCCTGGGACATATGGTGGAAATGTTCACTAAGTGACGGCCTGTGCTCCCGAGGGGTCTTTTTCGGTCATGTAAATAAACATTATTATTATTGTTGTTATTATTATTGTTATTATTATTGTTGTTATTATTATTATTATCATCATCATCATCATAATCATCACCATCATTAAAAATAATAATAATAATAATAATAATGTGTATGAACCGCCCAATCCCTGCTACTGCAGGGCTCTAGGTGATGTACAACATATAAAAATACATCAAAGTTGTAAAAACAGAACGTAAACATAAAATTAATACAACAAATCTAAAAGTCAGATGGTGAGTTTATCGTTATTTCCCATTCTGGACTGCCGGCCTCCTCACAGGCAGGGAGGAAGAGGAACAGGTAAATTGGAGAGTAAGAGATTATGAGACTGGGGTTCTTTGGGAGTCTTTTTTTCTGTGCTGAATCGCAACACACGCCCTGCCCCAGCTACTGTGAACATCTATCGGCACACCTAATTGTGTTTACCTCATATACCTCCTGCTGCACGGCTTCGCTGGTGAGCACGCAGGTGTTTAACATCTGCTCCATGTTGTTCAGGCAGCGACTGATAGCCAGAAGCAGCTCAAAGAGTTTCTGGTCTAAACTCAAGGAAACTTCCCCTGTTGTGTTCTCCTGGCAGGAAAGAAGAGGTCGTTTTCCCCCAAAACTTCTTGTGAGGGTCTTTGCCAGTTATCATCATCATCATCATCCATCATCATCCATCATCATCATCATCATCATAATCATCATCAATTCAATGTATAAATCGCCTGTAAGGCTCTAGGTCAGGGGTGTCAAACATGTGGCCCGGGGGCCAGATCAGGCCCCCGGAGGGCTTCCATCAGGCCCGCAGTGGAACTGGCCATCTCCTGTTTTCAGTTCTACTGCTGCTGCTGCTGCATCATAGCTTGCTTTGCCAGACTCTCTTAATCACTCAGCCATTTCATGTTTTAACCTGGGTCCTCGACTCAGAACTCTGCGCATGAGGTTTCTGTGGTGAATGTCAATAAATCAAAAGTAGGTTTGCAGCTTACAGAGCTAATGTTTTAATCATGTTTTTATTTTAAGTTAAAAAAAATCTTTGTGTTTGTGTCCTTATATCTCCGCTACCTGGCATTATATTTTAAGACCCACATGGCCCAGCCCGACAAGGTCTCATTTATGTCAGAGCTGGCCCTCGTAACAAATGAGTTCGACACCCCTGCTCTAGGTGCTCTACAACCATTAAAAACGAGTTAAAAACCAAAACCAAGAAAGGATAACTATATTATTTCAGATGGCATCAGACAATTTCTTCGCTACCCCGCTCCGGACTGCACCACTGACTTGCAGGCCGCTGAGGAGAGGGCCAAAGAGAGGATGGAGGGAAAAAGAAATAGAAGAAGAGGAGGGTGCCGGCTAGGATGGAAATGTCGCTGTCCTCAACCAAAGGCCGGACAGAACATCTCTGCCTTACAGGCCCTGCGGAACTTCATTATGTCCCGCACAGGCCCGTAGCTATCGCGGGGCCCATGGGGCCTGGCCCCCACACTATTTTTGTGGGGCCCTCCCCCGATCCTCAGCTCCCCCTCCCTCCCGC